CCTCACCAGAACCAGGACGTTGCTGGGGACACTGACGGGAGCCTCTGACACCTGCCTGGGAGGTGGCCCCTCTCCCCAGGGCTGTCCCCTCTCCCCAGGGCTTTCCACCTGCCTGGGGGGTGTCCCCTCTCCCCAGGGCTGTCCCCTCTCCCCAGGGCTGTCCCCTGGCCTGACACTGCCCAGGTTGATCCCTCTCCAATCCCAGAGGATGCTCCCCCTGCTCACCAGCCCTGCTGCTGAATGAACCTCTCAGCCCTGCTCATCCGCTCTCCCTCCTCTCTGCAGAGACCTGAGTGGGGCTATTTGTGCAGAGTTGCTGCTCATTACTAATTCAGCTCTTTAGCATTAATGACCACACCACCCTGATCCCACCCCTGCATCCCGGGTCAGCTGGAATCCTCCCCTTCCCTCCAGCTGCCCCAGCTCCAGCATCAGGAGCACTGGATGAAGAGCCAGAGATGGTTTATGCTGCCATGAGGAACCTCAACGTCTCCAGCAGCTCCTGTCCCTGTGGGCCCTCTGGATCTGGGACTGCCATCATGGGGCTGGGGATGTCCCCAGGGCTGGGGACAGCCTTCCTGCCCCCAGCTTGACCCTTGGAGCAACACTGGCCAGTGATGACAACCCCAACCAGCAAAAACCCAAAGCCACCTTCACTGCAGGGAAGCTCCAGGTGGGCTTCACCACCCACCACCCCACCAGGAGGGAGCTGCAGGTTGTCCCTTGCCCGGGTCCTTGTCGGGGACCCCCTTCCAAGCACAGAGGGACACAAAGAGCCCCCCCAGGGCCAGGCAGCCACCACTCACTTGTTGGGGTACTTGCGGAAGATGTCCTTGATGACCACGATGGCCTCCTGCACCACATAGTTGACCTTGGTCTGGATGAGGTCCAGCAGGGTGCTGACACAGCGCTCAGCCGATTGCTGCGGGGGGACTGGGTCAGCCAGAGGTGGTGGCTTTGTGTCCCCAGACACAGCCTCCCCTCTCACAGCCCCTCCTGATCCCCCCTGATCCAACCCACACCAGGACGTGGGACACTCTGGAGAAAGTCCAGAGGAGGCCACGGAGATGCTGGGAGGGCTGGAGCAGCTCTGGAGCCAGGCTGGGAGAGTTGGGGTGTTGAGCCTGGAGAAGAGAAGGCTCCAGGGAGACCTTAGAGCAGCTTCCAGGGCCTGAAGGGGCTCCAGGAAAGCTGGGGAGGGACTTGGGACAAGGGCAGGGAGGGAGAGGACAAGGGGGAATGGAGTGAAACTAGAGCAGGGTAGATTTGGGTGAGACATGAGGAGGAAATTCTTTGTTGTGAGGCTGGTGAGACCCTGGCCCAGGTTGCCCAGGGAAGCTGTGGCTGCCCCATCCCTGGCAGTGTTGAGGATCGGGTTGGATGGGGCTTGGAGCAGCCTGGGCTGGTGGGAGGTGTCCCTGCTCATGGCAGGGGGTTGGGACTGGATGGGCTTTAGGTCCCTTCCAACCCAAACCATTTAATGGTTTCATTCTATGATTCTCACTCTCTTCAACTGCCTGAAAAGAAGTTGGAGCCAGGAAGGTTGGTCTCTTCTTCTAAGGAACGAGCAACAGGACAAGAGGAAATGGCCTCCAGCTGCACCAGGGGAGGTTTAGGTTGGAGATTAGAAGAAACTTCCTCACTGGAAGGGGTATCAAGCCCTGGCCCTGGGCTCCTGGCCCAGGGAGGTGGTGGAGTCACCACCCCTGGAGGTGTTTAAGAGACATGTAGATGTGGTGCTGAGGGACACAGGGTAGGTCTGGGCTCAGCAGAGTTGGATGAACGGTTGGACTGGATGATCTGAAAGGACTTTTCCAACCAGGAGAAGGCTGTGAGTGTGGCAGGTGCTGCCCCAGGTGCCCTCACCTCCACCTTGATGGCGCAGCGGCCGATGGCCCGAACCGCCTTCCTCACGAAGTCCACGTCCACCTCAGTGGCATATTCCTTCAGCTCTGCCAGCACCTGCCATGGGGATGAGACCATCAGAGCCCCACAGCAAGAAAAGCCACCAGAGAAGCAGGACAGTGACCCACCAGAAGCAGACTGGGTGGCACAGCTGCTCCCTACAGAAGTGGGTCTAGGGTTTCTTGGCTGAACCCCCTGCCCATGGGGCTGGACACCCCCACACACCCCCTGGGTGGCCCAGCAGCCCCTGACCTGAGCAATGTTGGCCTGGGAAGCCAAACGGATCATGATGTCCAGCTTCTCCAGTTTGACATAGATGGGGTCATTGTACTTCACAAAGAACACCTTCATCTCGTGCTTCAGGATCTCAGGCCTGGAGGTCAACAAGAGGCAGCAAGTGAGGGACAGACACACTCCTTCACTTGGATCACAGAGACATCAAAAAAACCCCGCCAGGTTTTCTCCAGAGCTTTCTGGACACCCAACACCTCTATCAGACAATTTGTCTGGTGGCAGAAGCAAAGATCTCAGCTCTGCTCCCACCTCCAGGCTCCAATCCAGGCAAAGCAGCACAGGAAAGGAGTGGTTGGTCCCAGAAAGGCAGGAGGAAGGTGGGGGGATCCATCAGTCTGACCCTGCAGCCCCCCAGTGCCCCCACATCCCCTCCTGCATGAGGCAGCTCCAAGCATGAAGCATCTCCCCCTGGCCAAGGCTTGAGGACACTGAGGACAGAAGCTGGGAAAACCCAGAGCCAGAGAGCGAGCACCTCCAAGCCAGGACAAGTCTCCTTGGCCAGAAGCATGAGGTTTTGGGGGCATTTCAATGCCAAGGTGTCCAAGATGCAACTATTTCCCCCCAGGGCTCTGTCCCTTGGCTCCCCTTGGCAGGGGACACGACTTTGCTGCAAACGAGGACCAGACGCGCGGCGACAGGGGACACGTGTCCTGCCAAGGCTGGAGGGGACATCCTGGGGGGAGCAGGGATGCCATCCCAGACCCCAGACCATCCTCTCCTTGAGGTGGGAAAAGGGACAGGCCAACTCCAGCTGGGAGGAGCCAACCTGCCTCCCACCTCCCTGCTCCCAGGGATACTAATTGCTTTCCACTTCTCCCAGAAGTTGCTGCTATTTTGAACAGGCGACCACGGTGAGATCTGGGAAGGTGACCAAGTGACCTGAGTGGGGCTGGCACTGCCAAGCAGGGCTCTCCAGCTGGCCAGTTCTGCTCGGGGCACACGTGTGGGGCATGGACACCTCCTGCCCACCAGAGATTTTTTAGATCAGCAAAGGGACAAAAGGACTCAGCACCAGTCAGGACGAACGTGTCAGAACAAGATCTCACCAGGGATTCTGCACTGGATGTTTCAGGACTAAACCAAAGTCTCAAGTTTTGGCCTTTCCAAACTTTCTTCCCTCATGAAAACAGTAAATTGTACCAGCACGAGTGTGGCCAGCAGGAGCAGGGCAGGGATTGTCCCCCTGTCCTGGCACTGGTGTCCTGGGGTCAGTTTTGGGACCCTTCTGACAAGGACATTGAGGGGCTGGAGAGTGTCCAGGGAAGGGGTGTGGAGCTGGGGAAGGGGCTGGAGCACAAGGAGAACAGGATGGAGAACTTCCAAGGAGCAGCTGAGGGAGCTGGGGGTGTCCAGCCTGGAGACAAGGAGGTGAGGGGAGACCTGCTGGCTCTGCAGCTGCCTGAGAGGGGGTTGGAGCCAGGGGGGTTGGTCTCTGCTCCCCAGGAACAAGTGACAAGAGGAAATGGCCTCAAGCTCCACCAGGAGAGGCTTCGTTTGGCAATTAGGAGAAACTTCTTCACTGGAAGGGCTACCAAGCCCTGGCCCAGGCTGCTCAGGGAGTTGGTGGAGTCACCATCCCTGGAGGTGTTTCAAAGATTTGGTGCTGAGGGACATGGGGTAGGTCTGGACTCATCATAGTTGGGTTACTGGTTGGTAGAGTTAGGTTATGGCTGGATTCAATGATCTAGAGTTAGGTTATGGTTGGACTCAACGATCTTAAAGACCTTTTCCAACCAGAAAGATTCTGTACATTAAAATAAACCCCTCCTGGAGACCCCAGCTTAGCACCCAGCCCATGCTCTGCACCCAACCCTTGGATTTTAAATACCAGAGAAATAAAAAATCCCATTAAGAGCCCCCCGACCACCAGAGTCAGAGGGTGTGGAGCACTGGGAAGCAGCACCCAAGCCAGGCTGTCCCTCCTGCCCCACCGAGGCACCCACCTCTTCTGCACAATGAGGTTGATGTTGCGCAGAGCCACGTACTGCAGCTCGGGCTCTGCAGAGAGCAGGGTGACCAGTGGTGGGGCCAGCTTCTTCAGCAGGGTGCCATAATAATCCAGGTCCTTGGACAGCATCTCCATGAACTTCATCAGGACCTTGACGGCCGAGAGCACCACGGCAGAGTTGGCATGGGACAGCCGGGGCGTCACCCGCTCGCAGATGCTGGGGGGGGGGGGGAATGAGGAGGGACAGGATCACAGCCTGTCCTCCTGCCCAAACCCCCCTGCCAGTGTCCTCCCAAGGACACTGGTAGAGTTTGCAGCACTCAAGAACTTCTCAGGAGATGCTGAACTGGTTCTTAAATGCCTCTTGATGGCTATTTGCCCAGACCCTGCTGCAGTGGGACCCTTCCTGAGCGCCTGGCCTCTCCTGCTGCATGGTATGGCCACCAGCTCCAGGAGGACAGGCCCTGTGTCAGCGAGGGGACAGGGCTCACTGCAGGACCATGGCTGTGCCCAGGGCAGGGTGGCCAGGAGATGTCCAGGGCAGAGGGGCCAGGAGATGCCCAGGGCAGGGGGGGCAGCAGGACGCCCAGGGCAGGGGGGGCAGCAGGACGCCCAGGGCAGGGGGGGGCAGCAGGATGCCCAGGGCAGGGGGGGCAGCAGGATGCCCAGGGCAGAGGATGCCCAGGGCAGGGGGGCCAGCAGGATGCCCACTGTCCCACCTCTGACAGCAGGATGCCAAGGATCAGGAGGATGAACCCATCTGGGGAAGGGGCAGTGCTGATCCCCATCTGCCCCCCTCCCCATTCCAGCCCCACTCCAGTGGCACATGGAGCCCTAAAGCTGAGGTTGCCCTAGCAGCACCCAGAGCCTCCCTCACCTCTGGGCTTCCCGGTCATCCTTGGGCATGTAGTTTGCCAGGCAGTCCAGGATGAAGATCTGGCCCCACTCGGTGCACTCATTCAGGGCAGTGAGGAGCTTGTTGATGGACTGGGGGTTGAGGTCCAGCAGGTTGCTGCTGGGGTGAGACTCCGCGATCTCCGAGAGCGCGGCCACCGCGTTGGCCACCACCTGCCAGGGGACACCGGCCACGTGTTGAGGTGACAGCAAATGTGGTGGTGCCAGTGGATGAGCTGCACCCTGGGTCATCAGCACCTCGCCTCCCAGGCATCTGGGCACCAGCTTCTCCTCCTCCCTCCCCACCCACCAGGAGCTCCTCGGGAGATGAGCAATCAACACCAGCGTGGTCCCACCACCCCCAACATCCCCAGTGGCTCCCTGGGGGGGGAGAGAGAGGACCTGGGGGGAGGAGGGAGGAGAGAGAGACCCTGGGAGGGAAGAGAAAGAGAGAGACCCTTGGGGGGGATGGTGAGGGAAGAGGAAGACCCTGGGACAGGGAGGGGGGAATCAGGGAGAGAGAGAGACCCTGGGGGGAGACAGAGAGAGACCCTGGGGGGAGACAGAGAGAGACCCCGGGGGGAGACAGAGAGAGACCC